GTAGAGTCATCACTTATGAGTCGAGACAATTGAAGAATCATGCACGAAATTACTCGACTCATGATTTGGAATTAGTTGCAATTGTACATGCTCTTAAGATCTGGCATCATTATTTGTATGAAGAGACATTTGAGATCTATAACGATCACAAGAGTCTTAAATATTTCTTCACGCAGAGGAAATTAAACATGCACCAGCATAGATGGATGGATCTTCTTAAGGATTATGATTAGAATATATCCTACCATCTGAAAAAAAGAAATGTGGCGGCTGATACATTGAGTCGCCGTACCTTTGGCATGATTGCAAAGCTAGTAGCTTCTGAATGCAAGACTCTAGAGATCTTACAAGAATTATAATAGGGTATTTACAAACGAAAAATGTATATAGCCAACTTGAGAATCGAACCAGTATTAATTCAGAAAATTAAAGATGCTCAAGAAATTGACACTGCTATAAGGACCTTAAAGAAAGAAATTGAACAAGGTTTAAAGTCTGACTTCCGAGTTTGCGATGATGGTTTGCTTCGATTCAAAGGAAGATTGTGTGTTCCGGATGATCCTAACTTGAAAAGACTCATATTAAAGGAAGCACATAATTCTAGGTTTACCATACACCCAGGTATCACCAAAATATATTGGAGTTTACGACCTCGGTATTGGTGGATTGGGATAAAGAAAGATATCTATGAATTTATTAATAAATGTCTCACATGTAAGAGGATTAAAACGGAACACCAAAAGGTAGAGGGATTACTCCGACCTCTACCAATTCCAGAGTATAAGTTGGAACACACCACTATGGACTTTGTGATGGGTTTGCCTAGGATTAGATTAAACCATGATACTATTTAGGTGATAGTGGACCGATTAACAAAGTCAACCCATTTTCTACCAATAAAAGCTACAATTTCCCTAGATAAACTTTCTAGATTATATATTAAGAAAGTTATTAGGCTTCATGAAATTTCGGTATTAGTAGTTTTATATCGAGATACTCGTTTTACCCCTAGGTTTTGGACAAATTTTCAACAGGCCTTAGGCACCACTTTATTATTCAACATAGCATTTCACTCATAAATGGATGGCCAAATGGAAAGAACCATCCAAACATTAGAAGATATGCCTAGGGCTTGTGCATTAGAGATGGGAGGAAATTGGAACGACCATCTATCATTGATTGAATTCACCTATAACAATAGCTATCAGTCTAGTATTAGTGCAGCTTCATATGAAGTACTTTATGACAGACTCTGTAGATCTCCTATGTGTTGGAAAAAAATTGGGGACAAAAAAATTTATTGGACTTGAATTAATTGAAGAAACTACCTCCAAGATTATCCTAATTAAGAAAAATCTTTAAACTGCCCAAAATAGACAGAAAAGTTATGCGGATAACCGTAGAAGGAGTTTGGAATTTGAAACAGGGGATCATGTATTCTTAAAAGTGTCGCCAATGAGGGCCTTATAAGATTTGGAAAAAAAGACAAATTGAGTCCTCGTTTCATTAGACCATTTGAAATACTGGAGATAATTGGATCTACTGCTTATCGATTGGTATTGCCACCAGAATTGGCTAACATTTATGATGTATTTTATGTGTCCATGTTACGTAAATACTATCCTGATCCATCACATATAATTCAATATGATGAGATTCTTATTGAAGAAGATATGTTTTATCAGAAAATGCCCATAAAAATATTGAACAAACATGAGCAAGTATTGAGGAATAAGACTATTCTGATAGTTAAGGTACTCTAGCGACACCATTCGCCAGCGGAAGCTATTTAGGAAATTGAAGATTCGATACGAGCTCGATTTCCTCACCTACTGTAAAGAAATATCAAATTTGGAGGACCAAATTTTTATAAGAAGTAGAGAATTATAATATCAACTCAAGATAAAAAAATATAAAAAAATAAACTTTGGAGTTTGGATGTAAATGAAAGAAAATTTTAAAATTTGAGGCTTTTAATTAATTTCAGGGACCTAAATAAAAGTGACTAAAAAAAGGGAGCAAAAACATAAATAAGCAGAAGTGGAACGAGGTAAAGAAAATTAGGAGAATGGACGGCCCAGATCGGACTGCTTGAGGAAACCGGATTGAGGAGATTTAAAAGAAAACGAACGGCCCAGATTGAGTCATGAAGATCTAATGGTTGAGGAAACGGATAGAAAAAGGGAAGAGATTAGGGTTTTTATTCATTTTGACAGGAGAAACCAAAAAGAGGAAGGGAGAAAGAGAGAGAGAGCCAATCGGGGAGAGGAGGAAGAAGACGATCGTGCGGGGAAGTCGAGAGAGAATAAAGAAGGAGAGAAAAGAAAGAGGGATACCGGAGAAGGAGAAAAGGAAAGAGAAAAAAAGGAAGTGGTTGAGCGGAAAGAAGGGCAGCCGAGAACAGTTACGCAAGGGGAGAAGAGAGAGATAAAATTACGGAAAAGAAAGAAGAAGAAAGGGAATCGCGACCGAGGAGCACCGTGTGACAGTAGAATCCTAACCCAAGGCTATTCAGGTTTTCGAGCACCGCACCCAAGTTAGGTACGTTCTTTTTCTTCTTTCAATTTGTGTTTTTGACCAAACGAGTGTTCATGTGTGTGTGTGTGTGTGTGTGTGCAGGTTTAGGAGCTAAAAGACTGCAGGGTGATCGAGATAAGGCAACGGGGAGCCAAGCCGAGGCCAAATCGCCCACGCTGAAAGGTAAAATGATTTTTTTCAAGTTTTGGGGTGGTTGAGCGGCGGTGGGATGGGGCTGGTGTTGGGCTGGCCACACGAGCTCGGCCGAGCCACCCACCCCCCATAAGAACCGAGGAGGCTTCCTCGGGAATATGAAAAGCTGACCCATTCAGGAAGCTAAAGGGTCTTCCTCAATCATGGGAACCCGGTCCACCATTTTGGGGTTTCAATTTGTTGTCCGAAAAGTTGAAAAGTCTTTCTTGAAAAACAAGAATCTGATTTGTTGTCCGCGAAGCTGAAAAACCTTTCTCAGAAAATGGAAATTTGATTCGCCGAACAGAGAGCTGAAAGATTTTTCAGGTACGGATCTTGATAATTTTGAATATTTTGTTGGGTGGTCGTTGAAACTTGTAATTTGATTAAATTAATTTTTAGTATTTTAAAGTATTTTAATTAATTATGTCGTGTGTATAGAAAAATTTGGACATTCAAGAGGATCGAGAAAGACACGTAGGAGAGTAAGTATTTCTAAATCTCAACCGGGTTTGAATTTCAAAAAGTGCATTCATTTCATTAAATTATGAATTTTAAAATTTGAACGGATATTTACCTAATTTTTAATGAAAAATAGAACCCAAACTATGATAGTAAATCTAATCAATTAGAACCCTATAAGGAGACGAAACTAGAAAGCAGACCCAATGGACTAAGAGTTATTTGAACTGATGAAATATGAAATTAAAAAGAAAAATTCTCAATTAAGGAAAAATTTAAAAGGAAAAAGAAATAAAATAAAAAGGTAAAAATAGAAAAAAAAAATTGAGGTTAAGAAATGATCATTTAAATAAATTAAAAATTTTAGAATGAGAGGGTAGAAGTGAATAGGGTAAGGACCCTAAATACCTTCTCGTTTAATCTGAATCGATGAGAGAAATGTGTGTGTATGGCTGAAGTTCAGTGGCTATGGTGAACCTGCACATGGATAGAGTTTAAAATCTAATCCAAATGTGGATAAGCATTTGTATGAGTATGAGTCACCTAGCAAATGTACCTACTATGGTCATTGTGTGATTTGTGTGTGTGTGCTATCAATGCGATAGGGGATCCATTTCGTCTTTCCTCGATTATGACATAAACGGTATCGCGTGATGAAGCCATAGAAATGATCTTTCGATTCTATCTGTGATCTTTGTGTGTATGTGATTATATTTCGAGACGATGAATAATATTCGAGTGTATCTATATTTTTTCGAGAGTATGATAATATATATTTGAGATTTGTATATAATATTCGAGAGAATTCATCAGATCAATCAGGAACGTACAAAATAGTAAAAATAAGAAAATAAATTTTTCGCTGAAAATTTTTTACTGTTTTTGTTTCTTACCGTGTGTTTTGCATGAAATTTTATCTGAGTTGAGAGAACGGGAATACTTATTGAGTTGGTGAAACTTATTAAATTTCACCTTGATATTTTTCGGAGGAGAATGAAGAGGCAGCACCACTGTCAGACGAGTAGAATCTGTAAAATGGTTCTTGTTTTGATATATTTTGTGCATATTCGAAAAGTTTTATTTTGTTATATTAGATTATAAATTCTGACCTCATGTTTTGTATATACAGTTATTGTACATATAATATAGGATGATAGATTGTATTATAAATTTTTTATCTACGCATGTATATATTTTATAGGTCCACTGCATGAAATGACATGAGTAAAAATTTTACCTTATATCTAGTATTGAGGCGTGACAAAAAAATTATAGTATTATTTATTATATTATTATTTGTAGACGTATATCATCTAATTATTAAAATATATAAAAAAAATTTAAAAAAAAACTTCATATTTAAAAATTTTATTAACTTAACAATCAATAGCATGTAAATTACATATTTCTTTTAGAATATTTTAGACTAAAATTATATATATATTTATTTTTCTTGTTTATTTTTATTTTTCCTAATAAAATTTTTTAAAAAATAATAAATAAATTTTAAAAAAATACATAAGAAACCTATCAATTCCGTCCTTTTACCCTGTTTGTTTTTTGCACACCAATAACACCATTAGTTTTCAACTTTTTTTCATGTTAGATTTACCTATACCAAGAGTTACGTGTCTCATAGGAGATCACAAAACAAAAGTTACAAACAGAGACTGATTTAACATTATGTGATAGCCCCAGATAAACATGACAGACTTAATATAAATATAAATTTTTTTTTTTAGATATTCCAATGTAAGTTCATAACTTAAATTGTAGATATTACAATCTCCTAATCGTAAAATAATAATATAAAAATTAAATGGAAATTATAGCAACTGAAATGTGGCGCATGAGAATACAGTAGGCTTAATTATGGGTTGAATTGTCACAGATGTTACGCGCATCTGCTGTCCCGTTGTTCTGCGGGAACAAGTAGGCAAATACACTTGGTGACAGTTGAAAGTTTCATTACAAATCTGAGACAACAAAAGAATGTTTATGCTCGATGCATGACACAACATAAAATCAAGAGACGTTCCCATCAGATAAACAAAATGCTTGTATGTGATAAGAAAAATTCCCCCCTGCTCCCCCCCGCCCTCCTTCAAAAGTTTAGTTGGATCCTGCTCTATGACTCTTATGAATTCTACCTGGCAAGTAACTTCTGATTAGGCCCTCTTCAACCATATTGAATTCCAGATGATTTTTTGCCTCAGTGAATCATGACTTTGACAACAATTAATTAAACCACCAAAGCCAAAACCAGAATTCGTGAAGCTGAAGCAGCACAGCGGTCACTTGCCCATGAGAGCTCTTCAATCTGCATGGAATGTGGTGTATCAAATGTTCAAGGATTTAGTTGGACCTCTCATCTGAATCACCACTAACTGTAAATAATCAAATAACCTGGTTTTGGCATTGTTCTCTATTGACCAATTAAAGAGCAGAAGATCCAAGTAAAAAGTGGCCCTCTTATTATTTCGTCAAATTACCGAGGGGACGTCAGCACCCTTCAAGGTTGAGAAGTAAACAGAGATGAAAAAAAGCAACCATCGAATGAGGAGCTTTTCCAATTGCCAGATGAGGAGGTTTTTGTGAATAAAAAATACAAGAATTTTAATCCTCAGGTGCACTTCATTACTTTATTATTGATTTTTGACAGATGCAACACTGGTTCTATCATGGCGTATATCCTTCCACGACTTCCAAGCATTCCGGACCTCATCCAATTCCACATCTGGGATTCCAGTATTCTCATCCAATTGCTCAACCCATTCCTTCCAAGGAGATTCCAGAGGATCCAAAAATTTTGAAACCTGAGGCAGCATAACTGATGCGTAGAATTCATCTACTGCTCTCAGAATTTCTTCTGATTCTACCATGGTCTGTATTTCGGGCCTTGTTACAGTGCCAGGTAGCTTTCTTATTTGAAAACTGTTTCCCCTCAACATCAGTACTTCAGATGGAGCAAGCGGTAGGACAATCCGTGAGAACTTAATTAGTGACAATGTCAAAATATCCCTCGGGAGTAACTTGCGTTTTATTGCTACAGCAGTCCCCACCATTTTGCGGATCTGATTAAGACCAAAATAATTATTGTAACAAACTTTGTTAAAATCAGTGGCAAAGCATCAAGAGGGAATAATCATTTTTCATTGAATTTGTTTCCGGTGATGGAATAAGCAAAATGGCAGCAAGCAACAATCCGCAGTGACTTCATGTCCGTAAGAAATAGACTATAGCTCAAGATAATTGTTAATTATTTTATGTGAGAACAGGATTTGGTAGTAATAAACTTCAGTTTCACAGATTTCAAGATGATCAAACATCAGATTTAGTGTTATAAATACTAGAAGGATGGTCACCGTTAAGTTCTAGTTTTCGACTCGATAAAGCTGCTAGAATTGCATGATTGCTTATCTATAACATTTTCACCAGTGAAAAGGGAGGAATATGTGATGTAATGGGAATACAAATTATGGGGATTTAGTTTCATTACTGGAACAAATTAATATTTAAAATGCCGTAGGAGTACGTCATTTTATTTGGATTCCCTCAGTGCAGATTGAGAATGAAGCAAACACAAAGTAGGCTATCTGTAGAAATATATATTTGGATGAGAAGGTCAACAAGCCAGTGAGAGTAACTGTCTAAGAAGTAGGTAATTTTATTTGGATTTCCTGTGAGCAGACAGAGAATCAAGCAAACACAAACTGGCGATCTCTATGTATTTGCATGAGAAGATCAGCAAGCCCGTGAGAGTAACTACGAGAGAGATAGACAATGCCTGTAGATATCTCTACGTCAAGTATAACTAAAGTGCATGTTATAAAGGCTATGCAGTATGCCCATACTTTCTTTTGCCTGTGCATCTAAAATTAGATTTCTCAAATGGAACGTACAACAGAAAGTATACCACGTGAACTGAGTTCTCAAGCAAACAGAAAAGAGAATATGCACAACAGAATAAAAAAAACAGATAGTTATCAAACTGCTTTAAGATATTTACCTGATGTAACATAAAAGACTCTCCCCATATAGAGATTTCAACATAACTAAATCCAAGTGATTTCTGCAGCTTTCCACAAGAACAGCGAAAAATCTTTCTGAAGTGGGAAGCAGTTATTCTGTCTGTTTCATCAGGTTCATATAGCCATCTTGCATGAAAAACTAAACTGGAACTCTGAACCTTGAAGCTATTTCCATGCTGGTCAAGAGCATGAGTAGTATGTTCATCAAAATCACTAGAGTATGTAGAATCTTGATTTACTTCTCCATCATCTAGTGCAACAACCACATCATTGCCTGAATCTTCTTCCTTATCACTTTCCTCAAACTCAGAGA